CTATGTAACCAACCAAACCCTAGACCATGACCTTAATATTCCATTTGTTCTAGACCTTATCCCTGAAATGTTTTCCAAATTCCATCAAAACCGTACATATCATCCAAATCCTCATCTCTGCAATCCTCCTCGAAGGTTGAAGCGGCAGTGGCCAGTTTCTCCACTCATGCCATGTATGTTTGGTTATAGCGCCTCTACTGGTCCTTAATACCAGTGATGTAGCTGAGTGAGAGGCACTGGGATCTCCTAGAGTTCTGTCTTTCCTTCCACAAGTGGGGGAAAAGCTCGGCTCGGAGAACTTGAGTGAATGAATATTGTGTAAAAGCATGTGTGAATCTAAGTAGTTATTTTGATTAGTTTAGTTTCTTTTTGTTTAGTTCAGTATCTTTTAGTTTATATACATTTACTTTTAGTATTATTATTTTGCTGTTTATTTATTTTTATTTATTGTGCATAGTATGAATGAGCTACTATTTATCACTATTATTATTGTCCTTATATGTGATAGATTGTAATATATCTTAATAAAGAAGTTTTTAAAACAAACAACTGTTTTATTTAATCAAAATAGTCTCCACTACTATCAATACATTTCTGCCAACGTGTTTGCAACTTTTCCATTCTCTCGGAATAGAATTTCTCATCTTTAGAATTGATAAACTCCAAAAATGCATTTTATAATTACCCTTTGTTCATTAAATTTTTTCATAGCATAAGTAGTGGTCCAGGTGTCTAAAAAAATGATAATTCGTAGCCGAGAGGTCTGGAGAGTAGGGCAGATGTGGCAGAGTTTCATATCCAAGCTCCACTAATTTTTGTGATGTCACTCTTGAGATATGTGGCAGGACGTTGTTATGCAACAAAATATGCCCCTTCCAATTGACTAAAGATGGCTTCATTATTGTCAATTTCTGATACATTGCATTAATTTGGTTACAATATGATTTGTCATTGATGGTTTCTCCAGGATTTAAGAAGCTGTAGTATATCAAACCAAATGAAGCCCACCAAACAGTAACAATCACCTTTTTTTCATGAATCGGAGGTTTTGGAAAATGTTTTGTTGAGCTGAGCCATGTTGAGCCACTGTCCATAACGTTTACGTTTGCTGTTATCGTTTAGTGTCCACTTTTCATCTCAATGAACAATTCTGGGCAGAAAAGGATTATTTATATTATATATATATATATATATATATATATATATATATATGTATTTTTTTTTTTTTTTTTTTTTTTTTATCGGTCATTTAATGTGTGTGGAATACAACTTTCAAGCTATTTTTACCTTTCCAATTGTCTTGAGATGGTCATCGACACTCTATTTGCTACTAATGTTAAGTTTCCCTGCAAGTTCTTAAACAGTTATTCTGGGGTTTTGTTCCTCCAAAGCCTGCAGAACATTGTCATCAAGATGGGAAGTCCTTCCACGATCTTCTTTGTCTTCAAGGCCGAAGTCTTCCTACTGAAATTTTCGAACCACCATTGGACAGTGCACTCATTAATGTTACAATCGCCCCAGATTAATATTTCTGGCCGTTTGATCCCATTCAGAGTTTAAACTTGTAAAACAAAATTATTCAAAAATCACGATTAATGGCATCTTAGTAAAGACGGACTTATTTCCAATCAGTGAAATTTGGAAGATTTTGTAAGAGAATTAATAAGTGTTGACATTCATACAAATGAATAATCCAGCAAACTTCAACAGCTTGTTATATAGAGGGGCATTTAAAGAAAGATGGGTATTTAAAGGGGCAAAGAAAAATCCTGCATTATTTTCCAGACAACCCAATACATCACATCTAGTTGGTAGTTAACTCTAAAAATCTTTATTTTACAAAAAATGTTAGAAATAGTTGCTGTAGAGAATTTAAACCAACAATAATTTTTATTAAGATTATTTTTTCTAGAAAAGACTTAACTGGGGATATTTTGAAAAAAATTGATTCTAGGCATTATTTGTTAAGATATATATAGATAGTGATATATGCTTGAATGGGATGTAGCAAACATAGTTTATTTTTAGGATGTTGCTATGTATTATTTTCAAGTTTAATTTCTCCATCTCCATCATTTTTATTTTTTCCCAGATAAATTATTTTTTATCTCACTACTGCCTGGGCTACGAGTTTAGATATTGCTAACAGAAGCTGTAGTGCTGCTACTGCTGTAAGTGTCTACTAATTAGTATCTAATGCCTAAGTCTCCATAAAGATGAAAGTATATTCAAAATGTAATCCAATCAATACAAAGGATTATAAAATCTTTTATTGTTTTATCAGATTTAAAAATGTTTTTTTATTGATATTAAACAATAATGATCGGTTTAATTAATCTCATATCTGCAGTTCTTAAGTTTCTGGATTAATGCTCCTTCTTCAGAAATACACTGCAATATAACTACTCGATTATAAAACATTGGTGCATTTCTAATACATACAATTAAAATTATCACATTTCAATGTGATATAAAATGTAGATCCCCAAGGGCCCACGAATTTCAACACAACTGTCTAAATTAAAAAAACTATTAAAATTCTATAGCTGTTTTTAACATTATTTTCTTATAAATAGGGAAACAGACTTGTGTATTTTTCTTATATATTTACTTTTCTTGTGTATTTTTGGGCTCTTACAAGCAAGTTGCCTGGTGTTTTGTTTTAAATTACTTTTTAAAAAAAATTTGTTTTCATAATATGTCATTTCTATTCATCATCATAATCCAATCCCTCTCCACCACTTGGAAGTGTGGAGATACCTTGTATGCTAGTATAGTGTGTGAACCTAGTCTTCCTCTCCTATACCACCTGTCTCCTCATGTTCCAGTCCATCCCTCGCTTCCAACATGCCTTCCAGGTGATCTACCATCTTCCTCTTGGTCTTTTTCCTTCCTCTCATGTCTCATTTATGATTCTGGCTATTCTTTCCATATTTATCCTAGGGACGTGCCCAAACCATTTTAGTTTATTCTCTTCTAGCTTGGTTTTTACCGGCTGCAGCTTTAGGCTTGATCTTATTGCTGTGTCATGGATCCTGTATCTTCTTGTCTTCCCTTCGAACTTTCTCTGGTACATCATTTTCATTGTCTGGATCTACCCCTCGTGTTTATAGGTAATGGTTCATGACTCTGCTGAGGAATAAGAAAGGATGGGCAAGAACGTTGACCTGTAGACAGATGGCTTTGTTTTAAAATCAAATTTCGCCAATTTAAATTTTCTTATATAAAGCAACAGCTTTCAACTGACTGAATGAATGTCTAGACAAGGTTTATCTAGAATTTAAAATTGTTGGGCAATGCATACCATGGTGGATATTGGTTAATGGGAGAGGGTACAGTCAAGCTTCTGTTGCCTTAAAACTGGAATCCAAAGATTCCAGGTTGGGATTTGGGCACAGGGCCAACTATCCTGTCCAGTAAAAACTATCTGTTATGAAGAAACCACAGAAAGCTGCACAAAGAAATGGATTATATGGGAAACGACATAGGCTTATGGACATATGGACACGGACAAATAAATTTAGCAACCTTGATTGTCAGAAGTTTGTTCCAACCTGAAACTGGAAGGGACCTGGAAAGAAAAATATGAAATAGATATATTAGCACTACAAGAAATCCGATGGAGAGACACAGTGCTCAAATGGATAGAAGTAAAAATAAAATAAAGGTTAGAAATTTTAATTACTTCTTAAAAGGTAATAAAATCTGTTTCTTAAAGTTATTGATGTTGGTTGGAAGAGCAGTAATTCAGTTTTCCAATGGTTATGATAAAGTTGAATTTGAAGAAAATTCTGAGGAGTTATAAATCCTTTAGTTGATGGCCTGAAAAAAAATCATCCAAGCCAATCAAATACTAAAGGTTGTATTTTTTTATTTATCTAAAAATCCATATTTAAGAATTTTAAAGGATTCTTAAAAGAAAACTAACTTGCTTTTTCAAAAACAAAAAATTATTTGGCCTACTTTACTGGAAGCTCCCTTTGCATTTTGTATTTCATGGTGCACTGTAACTCATTTAATACAACAGTCAATATTTCTTTCTTATTCTACACACAAAAAAGAAAGCTACTGATATATAGTAACCTAAAAATTTCGGGCAAAGCAAAGGCAAAAATAAATAATATAAATTTTATTTGAAACTATATCATTTTTTTTCTCGGCACCTAGGACCCATTGGAATGAATGCCCGGATGTCTACAATATTTTTGAACAAAATCTACTGTTTTATAAACAAATTGACAATTAAATAATATGCTGATGAAAAGAAAAATTAACCAATAATTTAAGGAATAGCAAAATAATATTTGTGGGTTAATGGTTGATTTTAGTGAATAATGAAGAGAAGGATAGTTGGGGTAATCGGTCAAAATAAAAATGGCAAAAATAAATAATAATATTTATTTTGACATTTCGACCCGAAGTTCAGGCCTTCATCAGGAATAATGACAATAATAAGAACTAAGAAATAAATAATAATAACGGTTACAAAGTGTGTGGAAAATAGAGTGAAAAGGAAGGAAGAAATAAAGAGAATAAGATAAGATAGTCAAGTGACCTGATCGCTATTGGTCGAAGAGATCGCTATTGATAGAATGGAGGTATTGTAGCAAGAGAGAGGGAGCTGTATTGTTGCGTCATTTCTGACGGTTGCCTGGAAAAGTTTTGAACTAAAGTACTGGAAGCGTATATGTAATTGAAGGGAGATATATTATAGATAAATATTATGAATAATTAAGTTTAATTTAAAGAGGATGAAAATAATCAGGAGATAGTATAAAATGGAGATAATAAAGATTGAATAAATGTTAAGTAATAGTGGAGAATATTTGAAATTAATATATATTTTATAATATAGAAATAAGTATATATAATATAGAAATATTATATATAGAAATCAGGAAGTTGTCACGAAAAGGAAAAAGGAGATTGTTATGGATGTTTTAATAAATTCAGAATTTGGGAATAGGCTAACAATAATTTTTTTTTTTGTCTGTTTTTAGATTCACTGTCTTAAGTTGGAGCTGGATGTGGAAGGTTTCAGAGATGAGTCATTTGTCATGGTTAGAGACAGAGGCAAGGATGGAAGTTTTGTCAAAATCAAATGTATGGTTTAGGGAGAGAGAATGTTCGGATAACTTGGAGGCAGTAAAATTACAAGAGGATACAGACTATCTATGTTGGGTGATGCGGTCCTTTAGAAGATTTTTCACCAATATAGGATGGAAAACAATTAGCGGTAGAACATGGGATACGGTAAACGATATGAGAGTGGTGTGAAAGAGGAACAGGATCTTTTAGGGAAGTGTATAAATTGGAAAGCGTGTTGTGAAATTCAATTCAAAATAATATTTTTCATAATGTGCTTAATCTACACCTCTAATCATATGTTTCTGGCCTCAACAGCTTCCTTAATTTGTCTTTTGGCACAATTTACAGGCTAATAGCACAAATAAGTTCTGATATTAAAGATACCTGTTTTGAGCCTTTTCTAGCAAGGCTACCTACCCTCTTATTGCCTAAAATACCAGAGAAGACACCCACCACCCCAAGACACCCAACACAAGCTAAGACACCCACTACCCCTCAAGATATGAAAATTTCCTCTCTAATATATGTAGTTTTATTACTTCTATTAGGAATTTTAAAGCCATGACATAATAAATGCTCTAGAAGAGACTTACCTCTCTGTTTAGTGTTGGTGCTCCCCAGAGGCTATGATATGCATTGGAATCTAAAGATGTTATTAGTATATCCTTATTCATCTCCTCAATGCCGTATAAACAATGTCTTCACTGTATTGGAGATCCGATATTATGATTTTTCTGTCCATAGTTATCCCCAGCGAGGTCCAATTAAGTTACTGTCAGATCTCTGCAACATTTGTAATTTATTCTTGTACAGGATACAGGGATGTATTGGCACTACTGTGATTCTGTAACCAGGCATGCCCTGTACCTTTATCCTGTCCTCAAATAAGTAACGCTCTTGTATTAAAATAATATTGATTTCCTTACCTTTAACATGTTGAAGTAATACACCATTTGCTGCTTTTCAGTGCAGCAAGTAAATATGCAAGTTTCAATCCAATCACTGAGAACCAGCTTCTGGAGGGTCACTCCTCGAAAGTTACCACCAATCCCAGTCACTGTCTCAGCGGAAGGTTCTGTTCCAGAAAGGCTCACAACCTACATCATGGAGTGTTCCCCCTTCCCCTCAGCTCTACTTAATCTCTACTTACATAGGATCCTTCTTTTTAGCAGCCATATTTGCCATATCAACAATTTGTTTCTTGTCATATAACCTAAGGGAGATCTTACTGATATTGTATATCACCAGCAAGTTTCTCCCTTCAATTTGCTTCATACTGGTTTCAGGAATACAGTGAATTAATTGTTAATTACTTAAATTAAATATTCAGCAGAAAAGCAGGAAATCCAAGTTAAGGGAAATCTCTCTACTTACGGGACACCCTATATATATATATATATATATATATATATATATATATATATATATATATATATATATATATATATAAAACCTGTACCACTAGAACCCATGAAGGGTCTGGGGTTCAGTACTGTTTCTAGGTCAATGGTTGTGAAGGAGGTGATTTGACCGAGATCACGCTCAACCGCCAGGTTTCCCCCCTTAATTAATTATTTAATTAAGGGTACCCACTTTATAGAGGCTGGGTGTGCCCCAGGAGGGACTTCTAACCCAAGGTCGCCCCATGGCCAATGAAACAGATAAATAAATTTTCTGCCATGAGCCGGGGTTCGAACTCGGGACCTTTGCATTGGAAGCTCAGTGCCCTATCACTGAGCTACCCCACTCCCCATATATATATATATATATATATATATAATATACTGCAATATGTAAAGGTTAATAATAATTTATCAAGTAGATGGTTTAAAACCAACACAAAATTTCATTGTCTTCTTAGCTTTAAAAAATTACAATTCACAAACTTACCTGGGTTGATTTGTTATATATATATAACAAATCAACCCAATGTGTTTGTTTAACTTTAGGCATGTGAACTGTATTTGAAAGTTTGTACCAACCTCCTAAAAGCACAAAGTAAACGAGTAAAAAGAGAGGGCACAACTGTGCCATACCTCAAGAGATTATCAGAAGTATATTTTTCAAATCTAGCGTCTATAACTTTTGAATTTCAATGCCGTGCATTCCCTCACAATCAAGATTGTACATCAGGTACTAACCATCATATTTATGTATATTTTTAAACCATAATTTCATATTCATATGATAAATATAGGGTGTCGGGAAGCTCGTCAAGATACTGGATTTCTTTTGGATGAGTCCTGGATATATATATATATATATATATATATATATATATATATATATATATATATATATATATAGGGTGTCCCGTAAGTAGAAGGTATATATATAGTGTGTGTAAGTAGAGGGATTTCCCTTATATATATATATATATATATATATATATATATATATATAAGTTACTAGGGATCGATCGATATTGAAATTTTGGCCGACACCAATATTACAAAGGCCGATATGGCCGATATATCTGCCATATCGTTTTTTTTTTTTTTTTCGCTTTTTCTTCAAGATTTGTTCAGTTTCACAAAGAATATCCTACTTACTGCTAAATAAAAGAATAAATAGACCATCTACGCATCAGCCTATACACAAATATCGACCTATAAAAGATAGATATTACTATATTTCAGCATATCGGCCATTTGTTTCTACCCGTCTAGTTCAGTACGTCACATAGAAAATTCTCGTAATTGCTGAATGAAAGTGTTGTTCAAACATCAAGATATATCAGCCTGATGACTTCACTTTATCGAGATTAGCGCAGTAAAACCATTTTTTTTAAATTTATTTTTATTTTTTTTTATCCTCCTCTCCTCAAAATTTGAGCTAATACCAGTATTCTAAACACTGATGTATGGGCTTTACGACTTAATTTTATGATGATTCATGGAGTTTCATATTGAATAAATACTATTTATATTCCTAATAGATATGTTAATCAGTTTCAAAGGTATTGACACAAACATAAATTTGAGTGAAGAGAGATAAATCAGCCTCAGAACTTTTTTTTTTTCAGAGTTCTCTCCTTCCTCACTTTTTAGACAATACAGCATTTCCAGGGCCAAGTGGGGGGGGGAGAGGAGGAGTTAATGCCAGAGTTAAAAGTCTCCCTGTGGCACCAGTACAGAACTCTTAACTATTTGTATAAAATTCTCTCATATATCAGATAGCCGGGAAACAGCGGTACTGAGCTTACGTGTTAGATTCAAGACTTCATTATAAAAAATTATCAAACTCTACCAATCTCGAATTATTTTTTTAAATTTTGTGCTTGTCTTCTTCCAAATGTTTGTCATTTCAACCCATGAACCAATATATCATCCTTTTGAATTTATTTTATCATAATTCATAGTTTCACACGGAATATTATTTATACTGATAATAAATAAGCCATTCAATCGCCATGGAATCAATATAAACATAAATGTGAGTAAAGACCGATATATCGGCCTTAAGATCTAATTTTATTGAGATTTATAGAGTTTCATAATTTTTATTTTGTCCTTGTCTTCTATATATAAAATAATATTCAATGTGGAAAAGGCCGATATATCGGTTTAAAAGGATGACCAGAAAATTGTGCAGTGGTGCACAACTAATCTTGTTAAAATAAGATAAGATCGTATTTGCCAAAATTAATTAGAAATTAAATAAAAATTGGTCCGACTCTACCAACCATATTTCAATAAAATAAGGTCATAAGGCCGATATTTCAGTCTTTAGGTTATCCGTATGCTGAAAATCTGTGGAGAGGATGGGAAAAAAAAAAAAACGATAGGCAGTCAAACTCTACCAATCTTAATAAAATAAGGTCAGAAGGCTGATATATCTATCTTGGATTAAATTTATGTTTATGTTGATCCCTTGACGAATGGTTGACACATTTATGAGCTATAAAAATAATATTTAATGTGGAAGAGGGCGAATGGTTGACACATTTATGACCAATAAAAATAATATTCAATTTGGAAGAGGCAGATATATCGGTTTAAAAAGATGAAAATTGTGGTGCACAAAAAAAAAAAAAAGAAGAAGATAAAAAAGAACAAATCAAACTACTAATCTTGATAAATTAAGGTGGGAGGCATATATATCAGTTTAAAAGGATGACCAGAAAATTGTGCAGTGGTACACAACTAATCTTGTTAAAATAAGATAGTAAGATCGTATTTGCCTAAATTAGGGGAAGAGAAAGGATAGAAAATAGAAATTAAATAAAAATTGGTCCAACTTCACCAATCATATTTCATTAAAATAAGGTCATAAGGCCGACATTTCGGTCTTTAGGTTATACGTAACTGCTGAAAATCTGAGGAGTGAATGAGAAAAAAACAAAAACAATAGGCAGTCAAACTCTACCTATCTTGATAAAATAAGGTTAGAAGGCTGATATATCTGTCTTGGATTAAATTTATGTTTATGTTGATCCTTTGGCGAATGATTGACACATTTATGAGCAATAAAAATAACATTAAATGTGGGAGAGGCCGATGTATCGGTTGAAAAAGATGAAAATTGTGGTGCGCAAAAAAAAAAAAAAAAAAAGGACGGAGCCTATATATCGCTGTTTGCCTAAATTAGGGGAAGGGAAGGGCCAGAAAAAAATAATTAAATAAAAATTGATCCAGCTCTATCAGCCTAAAATATTCAATACGAAAAAAAAACGATATATCAGCAAATCAGAATTTAATATTGGCCGATATGCCGATATTAATATCTGTATTGGTTGGTCTCTAAAAGTTACTAGATATGTCTCCAATTTTTAGATGATGGTATACTCCACATAAAGATTTTTACATATGTATTAATAACTAAAATTGAAATAAGAGTCATGTCTAATAAATTTGCTTGTATGATGTTTACTGATAAACTCAATTTAAGATTACAATCTATTTAATATATTATTTTGTGTATGTTCGTACTTTGTAATACTATGTATAATGGAAATATATGTATGAAAATGATACCTCTAAAAACTGCTTAATTGTGTCTAGTATATTGACTGATAGGCACATAGGGGCCTGATAATATATAATACATATAAGATAATGTATGATTGCATTGAGTAGTGACTTCCTAAAACTTTTAAGTGAAAGGAAATTGGGTTTAAGTTTTTAATTTAGTGTTACTTAGTAGTTATAGATGAAAGTTCTTTTTCAATTGGTGGCCCTGAAAAGGGCCGTTGAAATTGAAAAATTAAGTGTCCTGTTCTCCGCCATTACTCTTCTCCTCTCACCAGTATTTCCTGAAAGAAAACAGAAATAAAAACATTAAAAAATATGAATTTAATTCATTACAAATTAAACAAAGCAATTTATAAATAATTCAAGATTTAATTAAATCAAATAATAGTTTTTATAATTACTTTAAGGCACATTGTAAAAAATAAATTAGAGAATTTCACATTTCCTGTTTATAACTTCCTATGAACTAATATATTGAATCATTATTTAATATAAAATATTATGAACTTAATAAAGAATTATAAAAAAATAGTTATAAACTATTTTTTTGTTTTAATTTTTATTACGTTAAATTTAAAACAAAATCCTATTTAGAGTTATAATTAATTATTAAATACCTAAGTCTCTTTGAAGTTAATCTTTATAAGGTTATAAAAGATCTTTACAAGGTTGTTAATTTCAAACTAGCTGTTTATATAGTAAATATTATCTAAGGAATGAGCTTGTAAGTATCTATTATTTGTGCCGCATTAAATTTTCTAAACCCTGCATTTTTTCTTATACAACCAAGTTCAACATTAGGAAAACTTCTTGAAGTTAGATTCTTAGCTACGTGAAAGTTGAATTTTCGCTATCTAACCCATTAATCTGAATTTATCTTATTTTTAACAACCAATAATTAGTAATCCCGCTCTTTAAAAATCTCAATAATTTGTAATAAAATGCTCCCTTAACATTATGAATAATCAGCAATGTACAGTGTATACTGTTGATATATTCTCTTACTAGCTGATGTACCCGTCGTTAACAGGTGTATAGTTAACTTTGAGAATCTTCTTTTGAGATGGATTTTGTATTATGTGGGAGGGGAGGATCCAAATTTAATTTTATAAAATTGAGTGGATTTTAATTTTATAAAAGTGTTGGATTTTCATTAATGATGAAGCGAGGTGATTGTGGAGTTGATTGAAATAATCAAAAAGAGTTGTAGTCTCTTCACTTCTTTATTTGTATAAAAACACAGCAAAGCAAAAATTTCTGAAAGTGCTGCTGTTTTTTAAACAAATAAAGAAGTGGAGAGACTAGAACTATTCATGATTAACCGTTCTTCCCATAAGGGAGAAAATTTCATATTATTTCTATTTATTTATTTATTTTATTTGTCTTTAGTACTGGTCTGAGCAGAGCAGAAGCGAAGCATAAGATTCTCGTTTCACTTGAAACCAAAAATCCTGTTGTACTTCCGCTAGGCCTCATCAGGGATACTCATGAGATTCAGATGTTGTGGTATGGTATTCCTAAGGTGAAAATTAAAAACCAGATATTGTCCTCCAATGTCTTGATAAAGAGATTAGGTTTAACATATAAATTTGAATTGAATGAGGGTTGTTTTTGGTAGGTGTGAATGGAATTATTTTCAATTTTCTTTTTGTGCTGGCCAACCTTCAAGGCAGCTATGCCTGACAAAGCTACTACAAGAACGATCTTAGATTTCTTCATAACTTTGGCCAGCAGCAAATTTATTAAGAATGTCTTTCCAATGCCTCCAGGAGCATCTAGGAAAAACAATTTGGATTGACCGTTTACGCTGGAAAGAGCATTTTTTATATACTCGTCTTTGTTCATCTGTTAGGCATGGCTCCATCTCATTAACATACAAACTCACTTGCGGCAGGTCATAGCTCATTTCTCTGGTAAATTCTGTATTGGAGTGTCTTAGGAGGGGAAGGCGATCCATATTGGACAAGTTTGAACCCACCAATGTGAAAGACGATGATTTGGATTTATTGAAGACATAAATCATAGAGATGTGGGGCAAGTTCAAAATTAGTTGATGGGTTAAGCCCATGTGCCTCTCTTAAATAATCCTCAGATAAGGAATCTCGGAACTTGGTCCAGAGATCAAGAGGGTCATTCACTGAGGCTACAAAAAAAAAAAATCATACTAAACAATTCCCACAATTTTTTAGGGCTGTCAAAAACAGTGGCTTCTCTAAGGGCTTCCTCCCAATGGGAGTCATCATCCAAGAGACCGAGAGCATGACATGCTGAATGAAAAGTCGGGTGAAGCTCTCTATTCACTGTCATTATACTTTCAAATGAAGTGGGACCTCATATAGTATGCAGCAGGAGCCTGAGATGCTAACACTCACTGTTGCTTTGGTGAACAGTGTACACCATTCCAATGGCATTGTCATGCTTTACTCCTTGATAAACATCCACGGGCTGTCCCAACCTCCTCCTGGAAAATTTACCTAGGTGTTTATTAAATGTATAGAATTAGGGCACATCACTATATAACAAAATTCTGGCAAAGGCATCATTTTGGCAGAAATTAAAAAGTGCCATCAGAGTAGTATTCTTTGGGTTTTCTACTCTTTCCCTAATTTTATCTGTATAAACATCAAGTTGTATAACTGGGAGGATACCTCTCATGTATAGGAAAAGAGAGTATGCGCCATACTACTGCCTCTGAAGTATTAATGCACCAGCCACTCTGGTACCATTGAACATAGTCATTCTCATTACTGATCGCAATAGTAATGCCATCTGACCCTTTATTCACATACTAGTATATGTTCTTGATGCTGTTACAGTACTCCACATTAATGTGGACATTGAATGTCTTGGACAAAACAGGAGAATAAGGAACAACCCATCGATTATCAACAGATTCATTCTCAGAGGCTATTTTCAACACATTGTTGAAACCACCATCCTCTGGCGAACGTTTTCTGTAGGTGGGATAACCATCTTATCCAGTTATAGTCTCCTTCAGGCATTGTCTAGGGTACTTTTTGTAGCCAATGGCCGTCAAAGACCCTCCACGAACAACAACCAATTCTGTGCGGCGCTCCATTGAAACCCAGCCCACACCATTACGGAATCACGTTGGAAAGGTTGACTCTGGGAAAAATTACAGGCTGCATATCTTTCGTTTCTTCTTCTCCACACCCTTTCACGCCCATCTGGAGATCGAAGAGCGAATCTTGACTCATCTGTAAAAAGTACAGCACTCCATTCGTCCATAGTCCAATGGTTGTGTTCTCGAGCAAAAGCCAGCCGTGTTACTCTGTGAGTTCTGGTCAACTCTGGTCCTCTTACTGGACAAAAAGCCATTAATCCATACTCATTTAATCTTCTTCGAGCGGTACGTTCAGAAATTTGCACACCTCGAACTTCCTCGAGCTGATGAATCCCTTGAATAATGGTAAGGTGCCGGTTTCATAAAATTCTCAAAGTCAAAAACCGGTCATCCCGTGGTTCTGTTACCCTAGGCTGTCCAGAACCAGGCCTTCTATTGTAATAACCAGTTTCCCGAAAACGTCTGACGGTGTCTCGTAAAGTTTCATATGGAACTCCGATGGCATTAGCTGCATATCTAATGGAACGTCCATCATCAATAAGTGCCACACCACGCGCAACATCCTCAGCACTAAGAGGCATTTTTAAACTTAATATTGAAAAAATTAAAAGCCGGAGACTAAGAAATGTGCTGCAAGAAACGGCTCTGAACTAATGATACTGAATAAACATTTTGATTCCATAGAAAGTAAACATTGGAATCTAGATTCATTTCATTGAATTAAGGATTAATGATTATTGTCCTCTATATTAACATTCCTAATTAAAAACAAACAAAAAGATTACCTATTTATTCATTAAAAACAATAGACCAATCCAAAGCAGAAATATTTTTAGATAAAAACATGAAAAAATCAAGTGGGTGGAATTTTTTGCCCCTGTCAGTATATATATATATATATATATATATATATAGCATTTCCAAGTCAATTTCAACCTTTTCCAATTCAAATTCAACTTTTTCCACATCAAATTAAACTTTTTCCATTTCAAATTAAACCTTTTCCATATCAAATTCAACCTTTTTTTATTTATTTAATTATCTTTAATTTTTCGATGTGTGGGTCTGTTATCGTATGAGTAGTTTTGAAAATAACCTCCATTTTAAGATTACGTGACTGCGTTTCGAATTATTTAAGTTTTTTTGATTTATTCGATATAAGAGTGTATTTTTATGTTTTCCGATCCGTATTTTTTGAAAATGACATCCATTTTATTTTTATGCCACTGTATTATGATTTATTTAAGTTTTTCGAATTTATCAAATATAAAGGTCTACTTTTATGTTTCTGGAGCCGTAGATTTTGAAAACGACCTCCATTTTAAGATTAGGCCACCGCGCTTGGACTTAATTGAGTTTTTCCGATTTTTTTCATATGAGGGTGTACTCTTATGTTTCCGGAGCCGTATATTTTGAAAATGGCCTCCATTTTAAAATTATGCCACTGCGTTTTGACTTATTTAAGTTTTTCAAATTTATCCAATATAAAGGTCTACTTTTATGTTTCTGGAGCAGTAGATATCCCCCATTTTGTAAATGACCCCATTTCAAGTTTATGCCACTATGTTTTGGAGTATAAAAGTTTTTTTTTTACCTTTTCGGTATAAGGATCTACTTATATGTTATCGGAGACGTATTAAAATTTTTCTAATCTTTAATATTTAAATTTATCTAATATTTATATCATATCATTTATATCTAACATTTATATATATCTAATATCATATCATCAACAATCATCTTCCTTCCTACGCCTACAACCTTCTCCAATTCAAGTCCTCATTCCATTCCCTCTCCACAAGATCTCGACCTTCCGACCTTTACATTCTTTCTCACAGATCTGCCTCGTTCCAAAACTCCTTTATTGCTCGCTCTGTTAATTTTTGGAATTCCCTTCCTATCAAAATTCGACATTCTTCATTCCTATCTACATTCAAAACCCTCCTATTCCAATTCCTGTCCCAAAAACAGTCAGATACCAGCTAACCTTTTATGTAAAATTATATATTATTTATAATAACATATTCACATATACCTCATCTCTTAAATACTTATTATAGATTCGACTTTCTTTTTTTTTCAACAGAAACACAGATTTTACTGTTAAGAAGAATTTACATTTATTTTTTCTGTATTTTTTATTTTTTTTAAAGTGTTTATTTATATTTTACCATTTTACATAGTTTTAAGTATCTTGGTATGGTTTCAAGAGTTTTGTATATAGATTTTTTTTATTTTATTTTGTATATAGTATGTATAACTAATATTTTTTCTTTTTACTGATTTATCTTTATCTTTACTTTTTATGTTCATTTTTATTTGGCCAGATATAAAATTTTAATTTTTGTACTTTTTTGTTATTCTGAAGGGACTTCATCCCAGAATAAAATTATTTTCTATTCTATTCTATTTAATCTCCATTTTATGATTAAGCCGCTGCATCTTGATTAATTAAGCTTCATTTTGGATTTTTTCAAAACAAAGTTTCATCAATATGTTTTCAGGTAAGAAAAAATAAATAAATAAATATTATGAAGCTAAAGTTAAATTAACCACAGAATACAAACTAAAAAGCTGAAAAGCAACTGGTAATAAATTTAACCTACGGTATTCAGATTTTTCATCTAATTGTTCGAAATCTTATAATTTTGTTACAGGAGACCAAAATATTAAAAAAGATAACTAAAATTAAATTAAAAATGAGACAATACACATTTTATTTATTTCGATTAGATATTTTTATTTATTTATTGAAAAATAAATTAATCCTTCGTATTTTGTTTTTTATTCGAAGCAAAAATCAAAAACACTTATAAAAAAACCGAAACACAATGGCCTAATCTTAAAATGTAAGTTGTTTTAAAAACTAAGGCTCCGACATCATAAAAGTAGACCTTTAAATTGAATAAATTCGAAAAACTTGAATAAGTCAAAACACAGTGGCCTAATCTTAAAATGGAGGTGATTTTCAAAATCTACGACTCCGGAAACATAAGAATACACTCTTTTATGATAAAAATTCGAAACACTTAAAGATATCAAAACGCGGTGGCCTAATCTTAAAATGGAGGTCGTTTTCAAAATCTATGGCGCTGTAAACATAAAAGTAGACCTTTATATTGGATAAATTCTAAAAACTTAAATAAATCATAATATAGTGGCGTAAACATAAAATGGATGTCATTTTCAAAATCTACGGCTCAAGAAACATAAAAGTAGACCTTTAGACCTTTATATTGGATAAATTCAAAAAACTTAAATAAGTCAAAACGCAGTGGCGTAATCTTAAAATGGAGGCCATTTTCAAAATATACTGCTCCGGAAACATAAGAGTACAGCCTCATATGAAAAAAATCGGAAAAACTCAAATAAGTCGAAGAGAGGTGGCCTAATCTTAAAATGGAGGTCGCTTTCAAAATTTACGGCTCCGGAAACATAAGAATGCACCCTTCTATGATAAAAATTTTAAACGCTCAAAGAAATCGAAACGCGGTGGCCTAATCTTAAAATGGAGGTCGTTTTCAAAATCTACGGCTCTTGAAACATGAGAAACCACCCTTCTATGAAAAAAAATTCAAAAAACTTAAATAAGTCAAAACACTGTGGCCTGATCATAAAATGGAGATTATTTTCATAATTTTAGTCTCGGAAAACATAAGAATACACCCTTGTATCGAATAAATCAAAAAAACTTAAATAAGTCAAAACGCAGTGGCGTAATCTTAAAATGGAGGTTATTTTAAAAACTAGGTACAGAACAGTATAATCCATATCCGTAAGTGAAAATTGTACTTAGGATAGCATAATAATAGACTTTCATATTGGAGGGGGGGAGGGGATGGCCATTATTTAAAAAAAAATATAAAATTTACAAAAAAATAAAACATTAATTTGAAATGAAAACGGTTGAATTTGAATTGGAAAAGGTTGAATTTGACTTGGAAAAAGTTTAATTTGATCTGGAAAAGGTTGAATTTGACTTGAAAAAGGTTGAATTTGACTTGGAAAAGGTTGAATTTGACTTGGAAATTATTGAATTTGACTTGGAAATAATTGAATATGACATAGAAATATTACACTGAAAAAATCTAAAATGTTGAAATAAATGGATATGCAATCGCGTTATCAAAATTTTTTTTGTATTTTTCAAAAGCTATGCCTTCGATAATATAGTAAGTGGCCTTCATTTCGAAAAAAAATTGAAAATTTACAAAAATTTGAAAGTTGAGTTTGAAATGGAAAAGGTTGAATTTGACTTGAAAAAGGTTGAATTTGATTTGGAAAAGGTTGAAATTGACTTGGAAATGCTATATATATATATATTATTTTTATAATATCATTACATTTTTGTGGCCTAATCTTTTATATATATATATATAATTTTTATTTCATT